CCCCCCCCCTGCTATGAGATAGGAACAGATCTGAATATGTACAGAAGCAGCCACTCTGACCCTGGCTTCACTACCTAGTGAGTCGCTGGTGTGGAACAAACATGCAATAACTGAGATATGTGGTCTAAATTTCCTTTATGCTGGGGGCTTTCAGGCCTGCAGTATCACATAGCAGTGGCTGTCCGATTCCTAATGGTGCCCATGCATGGGATAACCCATAAGGCGTGTGTGTATCTGAGGACCACAACATACAAGATTTTATAATGTAGCAATGTTGCTGAGTTAACACATTGGGGGGATTTATCACAACTGGAGCAGACAGAATCTGAAGCAACTCCCCATAGTAACCAATCAGCTTCTCTCTTCAGTTTGTAAGGTTAAGCTGTGGCAATTAAGGATGGAAGCTGATTGGTTGCCATGGGCAACTGCTCCAGTTTTGATAAATTCCCCTCATCTTGTTTATTTTACTGAAAATGTCAACTGGAATTCCTGTCTTACCTCACTCACTAAGTCAGAAGAGGGGATGAGGCCGAGAGGTGAAGAAAGAGAATCCTCCGATTGAGAGCTGCAGGAGCTTCGCTTTACTAGAAAGAAAGTACATGGAGAGATTCAGAACTATAAAATTGCACCATGGAAGTTCAGAAAGAAAAAAAAAAAGAATACATCATGCCTTGGGCTTACCAGTGTCACTACTGGAAGACAAAGGTCTCTCTGTCCCAACATCATGTCCACTACTATTCCTTTTCTCTTCTTGTGCCTGGCAGGGAAACAGCAAAATGATCATTTCACATGGGCTCCGTGTAATATTACGGCCTTTTACTCCCTATTGTGATCAGCTAAGGTGTTTACAACAGAAGGATACATTTTCTATATGGGGACAGAGTGTATTTAAAATCTACCTGAGGTTTTAACTCTTCCTCACTATCAAAAACAATTGCTGGATTGGGCTGTAACCTTTGTTGAGATTCAAGATCAGCCAACCAAGCAGTGCAATGTTTTCAATGAGGCATTTGATTTCAAAACTTGCATTGTGAGAGGGGCAGTAAAGCAAGTCCATTTTGCAGCACTTCATAGTAGGAAGCAAAGCATTAACACATTTACAATATTATTCACATCAGCCAGGTCTCTTTTACATGTATATCTAAAAACACAAAATCAACCATCCCCATGTGTATGTTTTGTTAGAGGCCGCGCCTTTGTGGTTACAAAATAATACATGAAAAATAAGCAAAGGCATCACTTCCAGCATTGTAGAGAAATTTGTGGCAATCAAATGTTGATCGCACGCTGCAATTACTTCTACAGTGGTACCTCAGTTCACGAACGCCTCTGTTCACAAACTATTCGGTTCGCGACCAGGAAGCTTTTCAAAATGTTGCCTCTGTTCGCGAACCCTGCCTCGGGTGACAAACACGACCGCGGCCATCTTCCACGCTCTGACACATGGTCGTAGCTTCCTGTACTCAAGATTGCGGTCGCAGACAGGGCTGTGGACACTTACTGAGAAGCTTTTTTTGTGTGCTTTGTAGCACAGTACTGTACAGTATTACTGTATTCAATCCAGCATGGGTCCCAAGAAAGCGCAGAGCATTAATGAAGGTGACAAGAATGTGCAGAGCGTTATTGAAGGTGACAAGAATGTGCAGAGCGTTAATGAAGGTGAAAAGAATGTGCAGAGCAAGAATGGTGGTAAAAAGAAACTTGGTTACATTATTTTTTTTTCTTATATGGTTCAGAACGGATTAACCTGATTTACATTGAACCCTATGGGAAAATGTGATTCGGTTCGCAACCAGAATCGTGGAACCAATTAAGTTTGTGAACCGAGGTACAACTGTACATGGTGATTAAATGATCAACATTATGTTACATAAAACTGCAATAAAATATGTAAAAAATATTCCTCTTCAAACAATGTATTCCATAGGGAAACAAGGAAAGGGGAATTTGGAGCATGCTGCAATCATTACATCACAAAAAATGTTATTACTAAAATAAAATATAAAATGTATGTAGGGTTTAGGGTATATGTTTATACATGAACTATTTTTGTAAGTATTGTGTGGCCCCCTTCCATAGCAAACACAAATCTACTGTTATATGTACATATCTTCAAGTGATAAGAAAAAACACAATTGTCGAATCCCTTCAAAAACACATATGAACTAGATATAAGGATATGGAAATATCAATGGACTTTAGTAATGTTTGAACAAGCAAAATGTGGTCAAGAAGAAAAGTGAGAATAGTTACAACTCATCGTCTACTGATACATAAGTAGCAAGTATGATATCAGATAATACATGGAATCTAGTGCATGGAAAGAAGGTGATATAAATAAACTGGTGATGTTAAACGAGAACTATGGGGTTAAGGCTTTTCCCCATAGTTCTCCTTAGGTTAACAGGAGGACACAAAATAGCGTCCTCCCGTCACCCTAAGCTCAGTATACTGCGAGCTACAGCTCGCTGTATACTGAGATGCCGCAGCTGAAGCGGATCCCGACAATTATGTCTGGATCCGCCCAGCTGCGTGAGTGACAGCTGGCTCTACCTATCTAGAGGCAGAGCCAGCTGTACCCGCCCCCTCCCCCGTCCGTTCTGCCAGTCAGCGCTGGCGGATCGGAGCGGGGAGGGGGGAATCCAGGATCGAGAGGTGATCGAACGCCAGTATGTGTTCCCTCACCTCCCGATCTACTGAGCCGACCTGTGACAGTCTCATTGTCACAGGTCGGCTAGAACTATGAGGTGAGTGAAAAGCACTCACCTCATAGTTCTCCTTTAAGTGCTAAGATGATCAATGAAGCCGTGTCAGGTAAATTGATAAATACATCCAATATTGGTCACTTATCACATGTAAGCGCCACAAAAAACAGGCGTCACAAATAATCTCAAGCCACTGTAGAATCTTACGCTCCATTTCATCACAACGTTTAGGACCTGAATCCTCTCCAAGTAATAAATGCTTAGTTGTTACAAATGCACGTCAGTATCAGGGAGCTGCATATCATTTCCACAAATAAATCCTGAAGCTGAGAAGCTGCACACAATATTCACAAATGTATCCGAATTGTTCTTGCAACTCTAAAACTCATAGTAAACAGTTATTCACGTAAGGGACTGATGCAAGCAAGCTTTGCTAGCTCTATGCATCTTTGATGCTGCATAGAAAGCAGATAGTCATGCAGGTCATGCATAGTTGTGCAGGTAAAGATAGCGTCATGAAGACCATATAAGCAAAGTTTTCACATAGCCAGAGTCCAGATGTGCACATATACGGCAAAGTCCAAAGACAAGCAAAGATTGAAGATACGCAATTACATAAAATTGCTTTGCCAGAATGCAGTCCATGTGCTGGTATTTGTAGATAGGGATATCAGTAATAGGATATATAGAGATAAAGTAGCTAAAGATTAGATAAGCAGAGTTGTCCCAATTGTCCTCACCACCTCAAAGAAACTTTCACTATAAACCAATCCCAAAGACAATGGGCTTGAGAACATGGCTCCCACTGTTTAAAGCACGCAGCTTTCTCAGAAGGGCGTCTCTTTTCAAACAATGTTCAAATTTATTGCTCCTTACTAACCTGTTTAGGACTTTTGTGTTGCAGTAACACACTTATTAAAGTGCCAGTAAACAAAGGATCAATTTCAATAAAAAAAGGAATGAATGAATGAATGGTCTTAGTGAAAAAAGCAATAGCACTCAACCAAATCGATCATTTCCTTGTTTTGTCAAACAATTGTCTGACAAAACATCACCTAAATATTCAAGTCTATAATGAATCATCCATTTTATCACTACACATTGGAAACTCTTTTCATTGCTCTCTCGCACTCTTTTGAATTACTGATGTGGAAGACAACCTGGAGAATATCAATCCCTCCCACACTCTGCTGCATAATTTAGTGAGAATCTAATCCACTGTAAACTCAAAGGAGTACTTACTATTGGCAAGTCCTTCAACTGATGCTTTCCATCTCCAGGACCAACATGTACCAAATGATTAAAGTTCTTAGGATTGGAGATTAGTTTTGACCTCATTTGTGGATCTTTCATCATAACCCTGTGTGACACCGGAAGAAAACCAGAATATTTGTCATTAGACATTTATCTATATTAAAAACAGCAACATTTTGTAAAAACTGCTTCAGCACCACAAATCTTGTGCTGCTACAATGCTGCGCAACTAAGTCAGCAAAGTTAGAAAATAGTTCACTTGCTTGATTTCATTTTAACAATCTAATTGGTGATGTCAGATTGGTCAATGCTGTATGCCAGACAAGTAAAGGAATGTATTCTTTGTTGCAAATTAATGAATTATCTGGCTGTTATATGTGACCACCACCTTCTTCTAGTCTGTTCTTGTGGTGGAAACAAGGTTACAGCCAGAAAAGAGTATTGCCAGCAAAGTGATGAAGTAAAAGGAAAAACTGACTTTATGGTCAAAGGAAAAGTGCAACTGAAGCCAAACAGTTTTTCATGTTTTATATAGATTAGGGAAAGGTTAGAACTGGGGATGCACCGATATATCGGCCGAAAGTGCAATTTTTCTGCCGATACAACGGCACATCCCGGCTTTCTTACTTACCTACGGGGAGGAGAGAAAGTGCGACAGCCGGCCGAGCCCTGCGGGAGGAGAGCGCTGTGAGCGGCGTCTCTCCTCCCACACAGCTCAGCCTCCTGTCACAGAACGGGAGAGCGGTGTGTGGGCGGAGACAGCTGTGTCACAGGAGGCTGAGCTCTCCTCCCTGCACCACCCGCTCAGCCTCCTGTGACAGCTGTCAGGAAGGAGAACAAGTGCAAACACTCAGTGATCAGTGATCGCTGAGTGTTTGTAAATATTGAGGATATGGTATGATTACTATATCCTTAATTATGAATGAATGGGAAGTGATCTACATCACTTCCTGTTCATTCATGATTGTGGACATAGTAAACATACTCTGTCCTCATGTTATGAATGAACAGGAACACTCAGAGGATTCCTGTTCATTGATAACTGGGGATGCAGAAAAAGAGATTGAGGACTTTGTGTGCTCAATCTCTCTTTCTATTTTAAAAAGGGAAATATCGGGTTTGTTTAGACCCCTAATATTTCCCCGAAGCCCCTAAAAAAGTAAAAAATAAAAATAATTAATAAAAAATGAATTAATATAAAAAATAGAATATTTTTAAAAATGTGAAAGAATTAAAATAAAAAACATTTTCGGTTTTGGTCTGACATTTCTTTTTTGTTTCGGTTTTGAAAATTCTATTTTGGTGCACCTCTAGTTAGAACCACTGCAAGGTTTGTTTTGGTTCCTATAGAACTATTGGGGATATGTCCTTTGTCATTAGAACAGGAAGTGAAATCTCCCCAACAGAGACAGCAGCAGCAATAAAACACTTTTTTGTTATTAGACCAAAGTCTAGAACCTCAGTCTGCTAGTTATTTCCACTCCTTCACCCTTTTAAATTAAAGCATTGTAACACACTGCAATGCATAGATAAAAGCTACCAATGCACTGTTATAAAGAAAATGTCCATTCACAATTTTAGGTGTGTTGTGGCCCATTCAGATTGAATAGACTTCATAATGTATTGAACATTCAATGCGTATAATTTATGGCAACGCACTGGGATGAAGCAGCTCTAAGTGAAACATGAACTGGGCAGACAGCAACATTAAACAACTACCCAAAATTCAAACTGCTCACCACTTACTAAGCTGTACCCTACGTAAAGATGGCTTTTGTGACTTATTCCAGTGTTTGTGGGGAATAGGTGCGTGATCATCCAATTCTACCCGTAATGGAGAATTATTTTTCACAACTTAATGGTCTAGAAATCAATCAGCTTCAATCACTTCCATCACCTGCAATTTCATAAATTGCCCTGCATACCGTATTACTAAATTTTTTAAATGGGAAAAGCTAATAAAAATGTACGCACGCACAGTTCAGTCATCAATCCATGTCTCTTGTGCTCTATAGGTCACAGCGAAGGAGCAGGTTTCAGGTTTTCACATACACAACCAGGATATACATTAGGTTGGGTGGAAAATAGAGCCAAGATAAATACATATATCCGCCCACAAAGTGAATGTTCACAGAGAAGAAAGGCAGCAACTGATATTAAAGCAGGGATGACCATTTTTTCTTTACTTTGAATTTAATTATTTCTCCGCCCCATGCTTTGCATGTTCTCCTATGGTGAGAAAATTCCATCCCATCTTTAGATCAGTTTTATAGCATAATTATGAACACAACCTTCTCTGCTGCTGCCGCTCCTCATCTGTAGTCCGGAAAGAGAAATGCCTCTTGCTTTTTGTCTTAAGAAGCTGTCGCCCACTGTTGTCGGACGTCTCTGGCACTTCAAACTCATCTTGGTCTGGAGGAAGGGGGTGATAAAACATTAGCCAGTTGTACATTTACAGAAGAAGTAGTAAAGAATAATTATAATCACAGTACTTTGCTAAGAAACTAGAGTAAACTTTGGCATTGGTATGTATTGATGTATCCTAACAAAATACCTTAACTGCATAAGACAGTTAAGGTAAAACTAAAGGCTCCTGTATGGCAATGTAAACAAATCCCAAATTCAGTTACTATGTGATGTACAAGCCTCAACATAAAAATTATCCTTCAACTCCCCTCACTGAGCCAAATACGGCATTTGCGTCTACTTCCCAGACATTGCAGTGGAAGGTAAAAGTGGTTCATTTTAAGACAAACCCACTTGATATTTGGTGCTAGCTGCACATTATGGCTAGAGACTGGTCCAAGTGTCTGAAGTTGCACATTAATTTTGTTTCTTGGATAACAGTGGCTTCTTCCATTCTTTAAACATGCTTTGCGATATCCCACATAAGAAGATAAAAAGCAAATACAAGAAAAGAAACTGTCTCTACTAACCTGCTAATTTATTACGTAGATACACCAAGCGGACTTTCTCTGTTCCAAAAGCACAGAGAGATCCTTCCTGATTTAAGGGTCGAACCTATTGGTAAAGTGAATGTATATTACACAAATGATAAATAAGGAAAACAATGAATTCCATTCAATCTAGACAAAACAACTGATGGTTGAGGGACTTTAATATGGAATTGTACTTTTCTATGGGTCTCATGATAAGTGCGTTTTTTTTTCTTTTTAAGAGCCCGTGGACGTGCATCATAAAACAAACTTCCCCCTGTGAACAAAAAAAGTGAACCGTGAAATCACAGCACACAAAAACGTGCACAGGGGTGCTTGGTCCTTCAATAAAGAAGGGACCTCAAATTCCCGACCCCCCGGGGCGCAAGGCTCCTGACAGGGGCTGAGATACTTTGGTCCACCAGCCCGGAGACTGGCGGACCCCGATCCTACGGGGACCTGCCAAAACAGGTCCCATTAATAAGTGCGTTTTTAGTCCACATGCAACTGTTTTATAATTTTTCTTTTGCAGTTTTTCCATTAGTACGTTACAACCCAAATGGTAAATATCAAATGCGGTCTCAACAATTCCAAGCAGGGATTCAAGTTAAAATAACAGCACGTTTACAGGTGTAGCATCAAAATCATAAACTAGTAAGGTTGTAAGGCCTCATTCAGAGGGACAACAAGGGGGCACTAAAACCAGGTGGTTTATCTGTGGTTTTATCACCCCCCTGGTTGCCTGAGGCAATGTCAGCACCGAGCCAAACACTGTTGTATACATTGCCATGGCCATGATGCTTTACGTTGCGTTGTGGCAAATGAAACACATCGTGTCGCGTTTGGCAGATGGTCAGCCGCATTTTGTATTTTGTGTTGTGTTGTGTTTCTATTTGTATTAAACAAAAATGTAAAAAAACCTGCATTCAGACAGTATTGCCTCTTAAATGTATGCAGCCGCTGCTGCACCACCCTCTAAAAACAAGTCACACTGCAGATCATTTTTCAGAGGGCAGTGGAGGATGCTGCCTGTGCCAACTCTCAAATTCTTGTTGCAATGAGTGTTAAATGCATATGTCTAGGTACAAGGCACAAAAAAGTGCAGTACATCACTGCAATACATGCACACTTTTTCATGTTTTATCCCTTTAAACACTACATTCTTTCAGAAACACAGGCACACAATTTTTCAGGGACAAAAAAAACTATAGTTCTGTTGTGGGAACATCCCTTAAACATGTCATTTCTTTTCACAAGGTATATACCAGGTATGGTATTTTGTAAAATAATAAAGATAGAACCTAGACATTTTTAGCTGTTCCAATTGTTAAGAGAAGCTCTGCTCAAACACTGGACCCAAGCTAAGGCATGTTAATATAAAATGAACAAGTGCCTTCCCTTCAACATATCTGACCTAATGCATTTGTGACAATATGCTGCCATCTAGAATTATCTAGGTAGAAATGCTTCCCTCATAGAAACTTATACTTGTCTGGAATTGTATTGCATTTGTAATGTCTTCCTTTTATTGTAAAGCGCTGCGCAAACTGATGTCAGCATGTTTCTTGTCAACATATTTGCATGCACCTTACTGGTTCAAAATTCTACCCCTCCCTCAGAGTGCTGCTGTATAGAAGATTGCAAGAGGCCAATACCAAGTAAAATATATCTGCCTGAGGTTCAGCCTGATTTTGTGAATGCAAAAGCACAAGTTACTAAACTATGCCGGAGAAATGTCTGTGGCACTGCACATGAACTGTCTTTAATAGGAAGGGGGAAAGTGTGCAGTGCTCTGGTTTCCTGTGGCTGGCTAAGACAAAATAGCATATTTAATCAAGGACTGAAATAATGAATACTCTGTGTTAAAGTACATGCTGAAAAATCTTACCTTCTTGAGGTGAACACTTTGGAGCCACTCACTTTTTCGTACATCAAATATATCCACCGCATTTTCACTGAAAACTGTTAGGTGAGGAGATGTGTATGCTGCAGGGAGAAACACTCCAAAGTTATACTGTCAGTTTCCGATCATCCTGACTTCACACTCATCAGTGAAACATCCACAAGCAAATTTCATTTTGGTGATTTTTAAGTGTGCGTATAGGCAAAAATTTTTTTTTAGAAATCCCTATTATTTTTTTTGCCCCCCTTGGTAGATTCAGTCTCTCGGTTTGTCTGAATGACCATTGCCATCAGGGCTGAAAGTGAGGGAAATTCCACAACGGAGTAGAGAAATTCAAGTTCCAGTGACAGCTGTCTAAAAGGAGAATTCCTCTCACTTTGCAGAGATTTTGGTTTACTACCTGTTGTATCGCTGGACTGGAAATCTCTTCAATGGGATGCACAAAGCACAAAAACAAGTTTAAACCCTTCACAACTTTATCCAAAAGTGAGAACAAGTTTTGGCTTTACATACAATTTAAGGCTGTGCAATATAAGCGTCAATCTTCTTAAACTGATCAAGCCATTTAAACTATTAAACTTCATGCACTAAAAAGTATTAAATTGTGGGAAGTCTTGGCTGCTAAAAGGGAGTGTGATTTGTTAGTATGAACTACTGGTCACCTAAGATCTTTGTTTAACCTAGCAAGAAAAATATTTAAAAACTTGCCCACATCAAGATATATTAGATTTCCTTTCTATCCTACCGCCAATGACAGCAAACAACCCTCCTTATAACAAGCCATGTACCATATTAAACTTTACTAGGAATAATAAAAGAGTTGGTCACACTAGTCTTTCAGTTTTGGGAGAAATGAGCACAAAAACTGCTGGCCAGCACATACTAACATGTTAGTCTACTTGATATAATTGTTCTTGCCTGGATTGCCATCAATGTACCCGGTCGGCACACAACCTTTGGTGCACAAAGCAACAACCCTCTGCTCTTTTGCTCAGAATATTTCTTGTTTACTGCCCATAACCATTATAAATATTTTAACAGGATGTAAATAAGTTAATATCAGATGACTGTAATTCCATAATGGGAAATAAAAGGTCACCAATACCTATACAGAGAAAAGTTACCCCTTTGCTTTTGCAACCTATAAGCACTTCTAGGCCCCTCTATCCTGGATCCCACACCTGACCATAAAAAGGGAGCTAGAGGATTATAGGATTTGGAAATGCTTTGAATGGGAGATGGGCATTTTTAGCTGCTTCCCAACAAATGCTATATTAACACAACATTAAATAGGAAACAGCCATCGGCACCAGTACCATAACCAACGTCACACAGATACAGTATAATACTTACAGCAGGCCAGTGGAGGAGCAGGCCACATAATCTCCTGCGGTCGAGACTTTTTACCTTCTGCATTCACATAGACTCCAAATGTGGAAAAGCACAGTAGGTATTCACTAAGGGTGAGTCTTGCTGCACAAAAGGCATCATGGGCAGTCTGTGCCAGAAAAGATAGTTTAGGTTCATCTGGGTGGGGCAAGTTAAATGGAGCTCCTTCATTTAGGAGAGGATAAAGAGAAAATCCAGAGGAATAGCCAACACAAAGTCGTTCCCCCAAGATGTCCATGCACTGCACCGCTCCAGGTGCCTGGAACTCTTTAATCTTGCGTGGAAGACCCTTGCGGTTTGTCAGTTGGAAGCAGGTGACTTGACGCTTGGAAGCGGCACACAAAACAGCTGTGGAGCCTTGGCAAACCAGACCAGATGTAATGGCCTGACAGCCCTTTGCCTCAGGAATCTTTACTCCGGTCGAGTCTGGTATAAAGTCCCAGGAGAATAGGCGAACGCTGTGACTCTTTCCACTAAGCACCACTAACTGCTGGACTTCAGAGACACAGCGCAAAGAAGCTACTCTCTTGCAGTCTCCTAGCTGAGTGATTTCTAAAGAAAACAATTTCATATTAAGGAGTTATAATACATTTTAATATACAGCAAAGCCAGTGCTCTAGTTATGTTTAGCTTCAGACAGTAACAGTTTAAGTGATACTAAACTCAGGAGTTACATTAAAAAAATGCATTCAAATACCTTAACTGTTAACAATACTGTACCTTATGTGTGCATCTTTCAGCTGTAGATCCTCAAATTATCTCTGAATTCATGCTGACACTGTCCTTCCTTCTGGAGGGTGGCTACTTTTGTTCCTCATGTTCCTTTTGTGTGTTGTCAAGTAGTCACTGCTCCAAGGTAACTCCTGTGATGGACTACAATCTCAATACAAATTAGTAAACTAAACCTGAGATTGTAGTCCATCACAGAAGCAAGCTTGGAGCTGTGACTACTTTACAACACACACGGAAAATGGGGAACAAAAGTGCCCACTCTCCAGAAGGAAGGACAGTGTCAGCACCAATTTAGAGATGATTTGAGGATCTACAGCTGAGTGATGCACACAGGTACAGTATTGTTAATAGTTAAGGTACTGTACTTGAAGGCATTTTAAAATATAACTCCGAGTTTAGTGTCACTTTAAAAGATGTCTGTCTATCTACAGTATCTTACAATGAGCATTCCCTCCACCAAGACTGCCAGATGTTGCACTTACCTTTCTTTCAGGAGATTTGATAATCTGCTTTTTTTTTCTTACAAAAAACAGCAAAGCTCTATAATGCTACCATCCTAATGTATTGTATGTATAGTGTTTGAGCTGTGGATCATGTTAGGTTTGTGTTACATGTATGGCTTTAAATTTTGTCAGTGTTGTACAGATCTCTTGACATGGCTGACCATTCATTCCAGTTACAGCTCCTTGAATATGACTGTTAGCCTCACTTGAGTTTTCTGAGAAGTCTCCTTAGTAGAGAGAACACCATCTCTAGACAGCATCTGTGTGGTCTAAAATAAGAGAATAGGAAAAAAACTGTTGTACTTCTGGAAAAATTATTTTCTTAACCGTTGAGTTATAATGCCACTTACAGGAGTATTGGACACTGGCAAACAAAAAAATTGGAGGCCAGCCCAGGATAACCGCTGCTACCCACCTTATGCCTCAATTTGTAGCAAAGCAGTACCAAGGACAGGATTATAAAACAGAGGGTTGGAACCAGTTTTCCTCAATTGACTCCATGAAAAGGATTTGATGGTGGAGTACAAAAATCCTAATTTTTCCTCATACATTGAGGTACACAGGAAGTCACTAACTGTCGAGATGTCCAAAAGCAATCCAACGGAGGATGGGGCAACATTGCAAACAAAACGATAACAGACCCATTAAAAACAAAAGAACTGGGGACTGTCTGCAAGCTGAAAAATCCGCCAGAAGAAATTTAAGCCTGAAGCTACCATCAGATGCGACCTGAACATCCTGGTGGAACTTGGAAAATGTGTCAACAAAAGACCAGGTGGCAGCCTTGCAAATCTGGGAAACAGTAGTCTGAGGCCAAAGATCCAAATGGCACTCACAGATCTAGTAGAGCATGGCTTGACAGGAAAGGTTAGAACCCTATCCAAAAGACCATAAGCTTGGACAGTGGTATGTCTGAGCCACCAAGAAATGGTAGAATGAAAAGCTGGTTGAGGAGATAGGTGTACTGGTCCCGTGGAGCCACCAGAACATTCACTGCTTCCACTAAAGGATCCTTGTGCCTGGAGACAACACTGAGCACTTTGTTGTTGAAATTGGAAGCCAGAAAGTCTGCCTGCCAATTGTCCATGTCTGGGATGAAGTGGACAAGGCAAGAACATGAGGTTGTTCCCAGGACAGGATCCACTCTACCCTTTGCCATGGAGAGACTTCTAGTTTTACCCAGATATACTCCACTGCTGTGATGTTGTCTAATTGAATCCACATTGGAGGATTATTCAGCAGCATGTCAGAGGTTACAGAGACAGCCAAATCACCCAAAGTTACGGGATGTTGATCAAGATACAGGCTTCTTCAAAGACCAAGTACCCTGCACAGACAGGGTGCCCAGGACTACTCCCCAGCCAAAACAGGCTGAAATCCAGCATGAGGCTCTTGCATAAGATGGAAAGGAAGAACGTCCCTGACTCCAGTTGCACAGTCCCTGAGCCAAAGATAACCAGGCACTCTGTGCCAAATTAATTGATCTGCTCAGGGCCTGGACTGACTTTTCCTACAATGACAATATTGCATTGTAGCAACCTGAAAAGAAACTGAGCAAATGGGACTACCTCATAGGCAGTTACCATTTAACTCAGGACTCTCATGTCATCTGGTGAAGGGAGGGGGATGACAGACCTAGTGAATTCCATGCAGAGTTTACGAGCCTGAATAGTGACATTCAGTGCTTTGAGATTCAAGATGGAGCAGATGCCCCTTTGGGTTTGGGAAATGTGAACAGGTTGGCGTAAAACCCCTGAAACATTTATTTTTTCCACAGGAATTGGGGCAATGAGATCTTAACGACCCAAAGGGGCTTGACGGAGATCTACTAATCTGTGCAGTGGCACAGGGAAATTGGAGGTGAGAAACTGAAGATGGGGCAGGGAGGAGAGCATAACGCTAGCTTGGAGCCGCTGGAAACCACCTTCTGCACCCAAGCATCCGATATGCATGCTGTTCAATTTTCAAGGTTAACAAAAGTCCTCCCACTGGGGTGTACCTTCATGCAGAGGAAGGTTTGTCTGAGGGTTTAGCAGACTTGAGCCCCAGACCTTGCAGGGTGGAGTGGAAGCCAAGCTTGGGGAGGGGGGGGGGGGGGGGGGG